CCGTATCCCTATATCTAAGGTAGGTCGCTTTTAGTCGAATTGCTTACCGCTTAATATTGCATGGCATCCCTTAAAGCTCATACTAATAACCAATTTACTGTTTGCTTGCTTTGTGTGTGTGTTTGTATGTGATGTTTCCATTTCTTCTGCTGTCTGTTCTGATTTTCTTTTTGGCAATTTCTTCCCACTTACCTCCAACTTTGTCAAGATCTTACCAACTTACATTATCATTAGTACTCACATGACGCTTCATATGATCTAAGTATATCTTTGCTAAGTGCATTATATATATGTAAGGTAAATAAATGTGTAAGGGCATTAGTTCTGTAGGAATCATCGCAGATGGAAGTTGGCTCTCAGTTCGGCTTCCTTATTGGTACACTCTCCATGTCAATGTGTGTTTCAGTTTGGTTCAGCAAGGTTGTGAACGTATTTCTAGCACTCTTGAGACCCATATAGGTCCGCTTGCCCCTATCGTCACACAAAGTCACAAAAATACATTAGCAATCGCTCTCTTAACCTATTCTATTTCTCCTTTTTCTCACGATTTTGTGTCCACACTTCGGTTAGACACTCATACCTAGCTGTTTTTATTCCCACTTTCTTTCCTGCTTTCACATTCATCGAAGGCACACCAGTGTTCCAAATGGAATATTGGTCTTCTTGTTTTGTCTAAGTTGTTTACCTATCAGCCTTTAAGAAGATCATTTGTTCTTTTAAAGTATATCTCATCCTAAGCTTACCAGACACAGAAATTGTGCTGACTTTACGCACACATACACCTATACAGAAGACGTGGTTGGTTGCTTTTATATTGTGCGAAAGTTCGCTTGATAATGTAATCGATGTGATGTCGTCTTCATATCCCTAATTTCTTGTTGCGTTTGCCCATCAGTCCCATATCTCATTCTTAGGGTTATTGATAACATTGCATGCACTCATCTAACCACTTTTCTGCTGGCTTTATGGGTATGCTTGATCCCCTCTCTTGCTTTCTCCCCTAGGGTTTTTTGTTCTGGCATGCTCCTCTCCATTGTTTTGCATGTTCAACACTCTCTTGCTGAATAACTGTAGCATACAAACATGCACACACACATACATACACATTGAGATCGTTGTTGCAATGATAACAATTAGTAGTGTGGTGATGATGATGATGATGTTGAGTGCGAGTATGCTTGCTTGTTTCCCCCATTGTAGAGTGAAGGTGACAGACAAGAAGTGCATCGTAAACTCCACATTGGCCAGCTCACCGAGGACATTACGGCCGATATGCTGCGTGATCACTTCTCACAATTTGGACATGTGAGTCTAACAGACCAACTTTCTTTACCCCCCTCTATAGTTAAAACAGTAGCGCTCCACCACCATTTCCCTTCAAATCCTGCGAGGCCCTGCTAACCTCTTTATCATACTTTCGGTGTCTCTTTTTCCTGATATCCCAGTTTGCTTAAGTTTTTTTGTTTGAGTCCACTCTAACTTACTCCCGGAAAGCATTTTTTTCCATAAATGCAAGTTGTAGGCTAGTTGTCGCTGGTACCTTTTTTGTGTTGGTAATTAGTAATTTAGTAATTTATTAGTAATTTATTGTAATTTAATAGTAATTAGTAATTTATTCTTAGTAATTTATTTGTTTTTGTATTTTCCTTATGTGATAATTTTTTTGCGTATCTAAGCCAAAGTTTGTAAAGTTAGCCAAATTCATTTATTTATATCAAATGGCAGGCACTTTGATGGTTATCATTAGCCCTTTAGTTGACTTCATGCTCACGGAGGGGAAGGAACATCAAAGTGAAAAAAGTCGAGTGGAGGGGCACTGAAGAGTGTTTTAAAGACGAAGGTTGAAAATTTACAAAAAAATGTGATGCAGTACTGTGGAAGTGGTCGAATATGTCATACAGTGGGGTGATGGTAGTTTGAAGTGAGAAGTCAACTGCCAGTCAATAGACTTTTTTGCCGCATGAGTATACGTTGCCCAGGGTGCACCACGTGGAAGTAAGTCTATCGCACACCCCGCTAGCCAAATTTTATAGCTTGGTTACTTGAAATTTTGGTTTGTATGCACCTACCCTATCTCATTTTGCTTTCTTTTGGAAAAAAATTGTACAGGAGTGGCTACATTGCCCACTATCACAAGTTTGGTGCATCTAACACACAGTTGTTTTAAGTTAATCGAATTTACCAGCGTCCAAGTTGCAATTACTACCTTCCTCTACGAAGAATGTATTTTTAGTTAAATGTTCGCCTTTTGGCATAGCTACTAAAGTGTGGTTTAACTTTTTCTGTCGCATTAAAATTCCCCTTTTTGGAGGGATATTTGAACTGGGTTGTCAAATATTTGACGTAACTGTGGTTGAATTTTTTGACAGCTTAGCCTCCATCTTTTATTGAATTAGTGGTTAACGTACTCATCTTCAACTCTTGAGTTCAATTATTTTATGGCTGGGGTGTGGGATAGACTTACCTCCTCGTTGTGCACCCTGGGCAACGTATAATCATACGGCAACAAATGTCTATTAACCGGCGGTTGATTTCTGACTTTAAAATACCATCTCCCTACTACTATAAGTCTATCGCACACCCCTTATACTGTAAGGCAAGTTAAGTATTTCCATACTGCTTATGTGTTTCTGTCTTTTCCTCCTCTATCTCGTTCTATTCACCTGCCCCCCCCCCTAACTCACCCCTGCCTAATTTATCGTATTTTGACGCCTACGTTTCGCTGGAATGCATCAGACCCAGGTTGATAAAAGAGAGAGTATGTTCAGCGCTTCTTTTACTTGGTTGACATTTTGGTTGTCCTTTATTTTGACATTGTAACTTAAATAGTTGCTGTCTCCCTTTCCTTCAACTCGTTTTGGCCTCCAATGTGGGTGAATGGCCGAGGTTTACCATGTGTCAGGAGCTAGTTCTCTAAGGTAGCTGGAGTTATACTTTCTCCTTTTTACTCTAGATATTTTAAAGGCCATCAGTGGAGGGGTTATGAGGGATATTCATTAATAAATTGACATATACTCACATTATTCTATTGTTCCACGCCTTTGAATAGCAATAGGTGATGGAAATCTCAACAAGTCAGTAATTTTGGCACCTGAAGTGGTCTGTGATGATTTGTTCAACTGTCTAACAACTCTGCTATCTCTTTCTAATCCCAATACTATGAATAATACCTCTTTGCTTTTTCTCTACTATGCTTTGAGTGTAAACCGCGATTCGGGATGTCTCCAAAAGCGCATGAAATTGGTTGTAAACTACTTTTCAATCTTTTGGATATTATGATTTTATTCACTTTAAATATATGGCTATACTTGTAATCACTTTTAAACGAGGCTCGAAGAGAAGAAGGTCAGATGTGTGATTAATTTGCCTAAAGGATTTTCGTTTTTTACACAAGATGGATGCTGACGTTAAAGGTAATGAAGTTAGAATGACCTTAAACGCGTGTCGACTTTAAACCTGGTTACAATTTTAGGTCCTAAATGAGTTTCCAGTTAGTGTAGATGCAAAGGGTGGAAGACGTATTGGCAATTGAACCATTTGACGCTTCTCTGCAAATACGATTAAAGTTTTTGCCTTTCCACAATTATGGTGGTAATGGTCTTGGTTAGTTTGACTGTTTTGTGTGTGGACGAAAGATCCACTGTCATGAAGTGGCTAATTCCTAATTATTTGAGCATGCTTAGAACTTGATGGATATGGCTGCTATTCGTATAGATGAATGTTCCTACCTTTGACCAAGCTTTACCCAGCATGCTTTTAGGCTTCTTGTTTGTTCAATGTTTTTGTGACTGAAGAAAAACTTATAAGTAGTATGCCGACTTCTTTATTCAGGGTTTACCTTGGAATGCTTGAATAATTTTTTCAATGGGCTATGGTGACTCAAATTTTGAGCATTTTTAAATGCATAAATTGACTTTTATCACTGTGTGGTGAGTTTACCTGTGCTTCTTACTAGACAGAAAGCCGTTTGGAGGCTCTTACGATCCCCAATACTTACTTCTTACTTGGCAACAGGCTTAAAGATAGCTTACCTTCAAGGAGTTACCTGAATTGTAAATTTTGGATACAGAGAAATAACGGTTAAGATAGCAACACTTCTCTGAGGTTTCAGATCACATCTTTTTCATTTGAGACTTGTATGTTGCAGCAGCAACATATGTGGCGATATCTGGGACGCTTTATTATGATTTGCTACATTTCACGTTACGTTTTTTTAGCTGATTCACGATTAGTAGTGATGCTTACCGCCAGAGTATGCGAGCAAACACATCAGAGCATCGTTAAAAAGCTCACAAATTTGTTTTACATATCCATGTTGTTACAACGTCAGAAAGGAAAGCCATTAATTCTATTTAAGATACTCTAGTATAGAGAAGGAAGAGTGGACTACATATGTACAGCTTGACACAGGCCACGATCTTTGTTCGCCAGTTTTCTTCAATCTGATTATCAAAGGCCCAACTGTTGACTAATTCCCTCAAAGCCTCCAATACACTCCCAGTCAGTTCAGCCTGTTCCTTCTCTTCAATTTTTCATCTTTCCAGCCGGACAAAAGAGTACAACACACTTCTATTAAATGTGTTAATGTTTGCCTGATTAATGTCGTGGGGGTGGGGGGGGGACAGGATAGAACATAAAAATTTCTTAAAAATGGCATTATTTTGCTATTGCGACTCCTTTTAGTTATTTTTTTGTGCAACTCTTGGTCAACTGTTGTATAATTACCTTGTCAAAAACATTCCGCGTATTTTGCCCGTTTTTTGGCTTTGGAATGGGATTCAAGTACATTCCGATGCATGTTGTCATGGCAAATTTATTGGTTAAACGATTCCAAAAGTCTGATTTAAGTTGCCATTCATGCGAAGCTGTGGGACGCTAGAGCAATAAAAGCGACTTTTGTCATGTTTGCATGGAAGAGCCATAGTTCTTTATCTTAGCCGTTTCTTTCCTAATCTAATGGAGTATATTAAGAATAGATGCATCGTGCAAAGTAAATCTATCAAATCACTTCTTGACTTATTAAGAAAATAGTGGTAAGGACGTAGGTACATTGTGTGCTGAAAGCAATGGGAGTCGTCTTGGCGAACACTTCCGGCGTGTAGCTTACCCGTCTCGAGACAGAAGACAACGAATCTGTGAGTTTGGGTTACGTCTTGAAGTTTCTGCTAGTTGGTTGACCACTAAGCATTCGCTATGACAAGTTTTGACTCTTGAGCGGACTACGTGCGCTTATCTCTGTGAGGACCCATAGGGATCATCTGGGAGAAATATTTAAAAGGATTATTGACTTTTCTATGTATGTCCTATTCTTTTGCTGTGCGGGCTATCGTCAATAAAACAACAAGATAGGGTAATACTTTTTTGTAGAAGACCAGGAATTGTGAGGGGTAAGGGTTGGTAACTACGAGAAAACAATGTAAAAATGTGGGTATAGGGAGGGGGGTGGGGGGGGGGGGAGTGGTTTAATATCAATCAAGGTAAAAATCAACTGTAAAATATTGGAAGCTACTCGAAATCTAAGGGAATCATTTAGATTAATTTCGTTTAAGTCATTCCCGCATCTTTCATGTAGCTCAGTTGATCAAAACAGTTTAGTCTACCTTAGCGTTGACGATACCATTCATTTCAACTCCCATTCCTAAGGCTTCTCCTTCAAATCAATTAGTCAAGCAAACTTAAAACAAACTCACTTTTTTAGTCTGACACCGCTTGCACAGAAAATAAATAATTAATGAAATGCAAATTAAGGAACTGAGTGTTATGGCCCGTCCTAGCAATTAACGGTAACCTTAGAATTAAAAAAATGTACACTGGAGATCGTTTCCTTAATCTCCAATTTATGTGCCGTAGCCCGTCCAACGACTCTTTCCCACGTTACGCAATGGGAACCGTATGTAGCACACGTTTTACTTCACAATAGGCTCTAATCGCTTAGTGACGGTACCCCCACCCTGTTTATGTGTACTTGCACTTTGCTACAGCCTGACTTGCTCCACGAGCAAATTTTTGGACTTTTATGAAGGGTCATTGTTGTTTACTTCTGGAGTTAATTCGCTTCTTTCCAAGAAAAGGAACATTTTTTGGGGGCATTGAAAAGGAAAAAGTTGGCATTGCGCGCATTCCTCCCTGTGGTGATTTTGTATCGCTGGATTTGCTTGAAAATGACTTATTTTAAGATCTAGGAATCTACTAGAGGGTTGGCAGAGAAATATTATAGATTAGCAGTTTAGCCATCTGATTGCTCTAGTTAGAAATTGTTAAAATTGCTAAGTTCTATTAGGGTCTAACTGCAAACTTCTCGATCAAGTAATTAGTTGTCACAATTTATCCACTTTCTTAGTCACGCGTTGGTGTTGAAAGGGGTCAAAAACGTCTTTATAAGGGGCCTTGCTTAAAAGTAAATTCTATGTAAGTGAATCTGCTTATATTCACAAATATAATTGTGCTATTCGTAAGTAGGTCTTATTTTCAACATTTTTTTTCCAGAAGAATAAGGGTCAAAGTTATGCACATTTAAAGTTATCGGATATGCTTTTGTGGAAATCGATGTTTGCTAAACGGGAATATGGGCTTTATAAGCTGTTCAAATTTAAAAGCACTCGTATTTATTTCCAATTTTCACGTCATCTTTTCTACGACAAAGCACCAAAATCAAAGTAATGTATAGACTCTAGAATGGTCACAAAAGCTCTATTTCGTAGGCCGATAGATATGCATAAATTTTGAACAAACAAGCTTCTTTCAAAAGGTAACTAAATCAAATTTGGTCCTCAATTGGTTATTTGCTGAAGAATTAAACCTTTCCATTGGAACGATACGTCTGGAATCGAGGGACTTTCAAGCGCGATCGAAAATAAAATAGCGAAGATCAAACTGATGTGGTGAATAGAAATGAAATCGAGTTGCGCAATAATTCTCCAACGACCACTTTTGTCGTTCTACGATTTTGAGTAGGTTTTTTGTTCACAATTCCGGTCTTGCCACACCGGTCAGTTCTTACTCCTGGGTTCAATTAATCAGTCGATAATTGCTATTTTGGAGACATTGTTTTCTTGAGCATTACTGAGAGAAACAACTAATTTGTCGCTTGAAATACAAAAATGATATATTGGCTACTTTTTACTCAATTATTTTTTATGTACGACGTTGATTTTGGAATATTTACAATAAAGTAAGCGTAAGGTCTCATCACACTGCTTAAAAGGAAGCTTTTTTGAAAACAGTTTGTCTTTACGAGATCTTATCTTTAATTTCTGCGCGGGAACCGGTATAGTTTTCATTCTAAGAGATACGTCTCTGCTACAAATGTATTTTTTCAACCACTGAATGTCCATTTGATGAGTTGAAGTTTGGAGTGGAGATCAGTTTTGTGAAAGCACGTTTCGCTTCTGATTTGGACGACTTTTTCTCCCAGTAATCAGGTCGTGTTCTAGATTTCCTCCGTTATCTGCTGTCAAACTCTACCACTGGCTGGATGATATTGCAGATTTCTTCAATGCTCTGAACGTGTTTGTTTAAGAGAGAAAATCGTGCTCATTCCAATAAATATAAACGCTGCTAAGGTTTCTCACGTCAAAGCTGGAATCCGTTGGCTCCCATAGGAAGTCCGGAGTATCGAAGGGATATGGATGGTATATTGCTCTGCCTCTCCCCAACTCGAAATTTGAATTTGAGTTATGCAACTTTCGAAGTCTTTTTTTTTAACAGAAACTTGGTCAAATTATTGGGGGGAGAATAAGCCCGGCTTATTTTATTCGCAAAACTTTTCTCTCTAAGGAAAAGCATTAAATGGTGGGGGAATATTTCCTACGGAAATACGGTTTCAGCTCAGAATACTGGTCTGCATCTTCCATCATTGAGGAGCACATTAAATGTTCCAGTTGGTACCAGTGAGAACGCGTTACTATTTACATTATAGCGGATTAAATTTGTACGCGTGAGAGGAAATCCGTTGCTAAACTTGATGACATCTTTAGTCGCCTTAATTAACCTAGAGGAGCTAGAAAATGGGGGGGGGGATCAAATTGACCCGATTTACTTTGTCTCTTTTCACAGGCCTTTATTGAGCCTGAAGTGGTTGAGATTCACTTCATCTTAAACCAATTACGTGTGAATTTCATTGGAATTACCATTTAACCTAGTTTAAATAGTGAAATCGAGATTCCAATTCACTGTTTTCTTTTTATTGCTTCAGACGGTACGTTTGACTAATTTAATTTCAAATAAAACAAATGTTTTTTTTTGCTTTTTTTTGTACTATGTTCGAGAGTGCGGATTCTAATTCCACCTCTCCGTCTGCCTCTTGAATAGATATTTATCTTGGTTCAAATTCTTCAGCTCGCCCCTTTGAATACCAAAGCTTTGTTTCTCTCTGGAGATCAAATCACTTTAATTTTGAATTACTCACGTGAATTAATTGAAATCAAAGTGTGTATTTGATGGAGAATGATGTTTCAAGAGTGAATTTTTAATCATCGTTCTCCACACCAAAAGGTTTAAGTACTGTTATTCAATTTCCCTCCCTCTCAAAATCTTCAGGAGTTTATTGCTTTGTAATGTTAAGCTCGTTGGTTTTTGTGTGCCGGGTATTTACGTTAACTCTCTCTCTCTCTTTATTATCATCGTTGTCTAGATTACGGATGTATTTGTGCCCCGTCCTTTCCGTTCCTTCGCTTTTATAACATTTGAAGACTCGGACGTTGCCGCCTCTTTACTGGGTCAGGATCAGGTTATAAATGGACAAACCTTGACTGTTGGTTCCGCAGTCCCCAAAATGCCCGCTTCCACCTTCATGCATCACGGTGGTCCAGGCGGGGCCGGTCTTGGGCATGGGCATCAGCAATTGGGACATGGGGGTCCTCATGGTAATCCCCACGGACCACCTGGAGGACCTGGCGGACATGGAAGTATGATGCATAATATGTATCCCATTAGTGCTGCCCACGGTGGACCTCAAGGAATCCCTTGGAGTGGTGAGTGGTTGTCATGGTGAAAAAGCTATGATAGCCTCAATATTTTCCTTCCAGGATGTTATGGTTGGGGTAGAATATAGGCTGGTGATGGTCTGCGGCATATTTATTTGCGATTCTATGTTTGCGGAATTATTTCGTAGAAGCAAACTTATTGGGAATTTCAGAGAGGAAGGAAGGACAGGAACTACAAACATAGAACTCAGGAGGAACTGCAGGGCAATGAGAGATTTCTTAAGGATCTGGCAGTAGTTGATAAGGAATTCGACTAGATGTTTGGAAGAAGTGAGTAACTTCGGGGTAGAGCCAGGTTAAACATTGCATTTACGTATTGTATTGGTGAAATCAGCGGATAGTTGAAATAGTTCGGTGGTGGTGGTGGATGGTATGGATGGAATGAGGAATCCTTTCAATGCCACGACGCGTGCTTTGAAAGAAGTTCTTTGCAGAATAGATTTCTGATATTTCCACACCACATAAGCACAGAACTTCACGAAGTTTTATTTCATCAAAAAAATCTTCCCCTATAATTGAAAATTTCATCTTTTTTGGAGAAAGCGCCTTGTTGCTTGCATTCTACCATTCATCCTATTGACCAAAATTAAGCTACTGTGATTTTTAACCCAAATCACCGTGTGTAACCAGATGAATATCAATCTCAGTTAATTGGAACTGTGCTGTTTCGTTTCCTTCTGATTGAAGTCCTGATAATATCATTAACATGACTATTATACTGGCTTGTCCTTTGTAGTTGCCCTTTGTAGTAGTCAACCTGTTCATCATCACTAGTCAGTTCTGATCAACAATAAGGCCAGGAAATAGTGAGTTGATCCTAGAATGGTTCTTCCAATCACCTCAGAACTTGGTTGACGAATGTGAATTCTCTGCTTACTTGCTCAGAGTGAAATTAAAGTTCCACTCCAACCGGTTCCAAAACTTTTATTCTCCTTACTATTATCCACCTGTAATATATACAAATTCGCTTTTTTAGAAACGGCAGCCTAGATTCTCATTGCGCTGTTGGTGTATTTTATTGTGAGCATGATTTCACTGTTGGCCTTTCAAAAAAGCTTAATCCGTAGTTTTTTTTCGGTGTCGCCATGTTTTTGTTTATCTTTAAAATAAGACGCATTTCTTCAAGAAAATCGAAACGGTTAAAACCGTTTCAGATCTTAAAAAAACAGCGGGGGTGGGTGAGTTTGCTTTGCTTTACTACTTTTTTTAACCAGAGATGCTGTTTGAGAGGCCTTTTCCTCTAACCTAGACGAGTGTTTTGAAGGTTCTATCAATTTGCCTACTGTTTTCTCCATGTAAAATGGATTGTGCTTACCGTTTGACTTTTTATTTGATCGTTTTAATCTCTTTGGGTTAAATGGAAAAGCTTCCTCTCACAGAGTGCCTGTAAAACGTGTTGTCGCTTGTTGAATGTGTCATTATACGGACTAGCATTAGTATTAGCGAAGCTTTTGGCAACTAGCTGCTTTCTTATAGCGTTCATGTATTAACGCCTACTTGCAGGCTGGTCACATCCATTTGGAACCTTCGGTGCCTATGGGGAAGAAACAAATGGACCGCAAAGTCCTCGTACTCGATATAACGGTCCATCCATGATGGCGGGAATCAATCCATCAGCAGTATCTACCGCAGCCGCACTCACGTCGCAGTACACCCGAGCTCATCAGGTTCGCGTTTCTTCTCACTATTTTTTTGCTCGCTCTTAGGTGTATTTAATGTCTTGAAATCGTAGTTCATCGTTTTCTCTATAGGCTTTGGAAAGTATGTGTTATGCCTCGATTATCCTCTCAGGTCCCTCAGTCTCATCGTTCGCTTATCTTTTTTTCCATTGTTAGCTTGTCGTTTCTTGTCTACCTCCTGTTTTTCTACTACTATATCACTATGACTGTTGGTGAAGTTGGAGCCTCTTGGTATATATACACATAGTTGCTAGTTGCTAGGCCGTGCTGTACTGAGGTTAGGCGAGCTCTCTTGCTGTTATCTTATTGTTACCCAAATTAGAACTTTCTAGCTAGTCGCTCCAGCCTATATTGATTCGTATCTAAAAGCAAAAGTGAGGGGACTTTAAAGAAATCTTTACCTTAACGGAGCAAATCATCAAATTTCATTATCGCTTGTCTTCAATAGGGTCCTTTCTTCCTGTTGTTCAAGTTATAAAGTTGGGTAAAAGCTTGCACGAATATATCCGTAATCACTACTGTCGTCTCTTTTGTCATCGTATCGATTGTTCAGTAAAGGAGTTTACCCGGTTTTCTTTCAAGTAACTATTTTCTAATAATGCTACAAATCGATAAATTGATGGGGAGTGACAATTATTTACTAAATGCATATTTCTTGTACCAAAATTCAAATTTTATAAGTTAATGGGAAAATTCATTTTAATTGAATTTACAATTATCTTGTTCAGAGCTTTGGACTTTAATTAATCTGTCATCTTCCAAAATGTTGAGAAGATGTAGTGAGTTTACACGATATTAAACCAACCTATAGATGGTCTTAACATATTAGAGGTGAAAAATAGTTGCATTGGCTATTCTAACGGAATAGCGTTGACTGAAGTTAAGGATTCAAATTACATCAGAAACTGATTATGAGTGAGTGAAACTATAGTACATTTTGATGATTTGTCGTCAAACAGCGTTTAATGCATTAATTTTGTGAATATCCTTGATATCACATTGTGTCGAAGGTCTTACTTTGTTCTCTATTGTAACTTGAGTGATTGTCAAACGTTAGGCCACTGATTTCAGCAGAAAATTGTACTTCTACGAGGTACTTGAAAATCTTTAAGTTTCAACTCGTCTGTTGATGCTTGAGGCGTGCTAGAATTGGAGTCGAATAGCTAAGAGCTCAAAGAACGAGCTTTGTAAATGACGTCGAAAATATGTCTCCACTTATCGTCATTCTTGATGGATTCTTTGGGTTTCGAAGTGCGCATTCTTGCTGAACGAAGGAAAGTGTAGTTGCGAAGCTTATCTTTAGAATCGGGCATCTTTTAAAGCTGATAGACCTTTAGAATTTTTTAAGTATGTTTCTTTTCGCAAGTCTTAGGTAGGTTGATAGCAATCCAACCGTCAATTTTATTTCCCTAATTTTTCGCAGAACCAGGGTGGTGGCTACCTAAGACAAAGGTCAAATGGTCAAACTGGTGGTGCAGCCACTCCCTACCAAAATGAGGATACCGCCATAGCTACCCTGAACATTCTGAACAACCCCACCGTGGTGGCAGCAATTGTCAACGCAGCTAAGAATGAGGCTCTTGCAAATGGTGGTGCTGGTAGCACTCAAGGAGGAAATAGTCGCAGCGCTTAAAGACCAGGGTGTTCCCCCTCTTAGATTCCCATCCACTTTCACTCTACTTCGTGCTACTTCTCCCCTCGCTTGAATCATGTGTCACCCCACACGGTAAATTCGAAATCCCATTCCGTCTCTCCTCAAAACGGCATTTTATCTTCTACTATCACAACTGATCCCACCATTATTATCATTTCCACTCAGCCCTTTCCCGCCCACCCCCTTCCTCCGCTCCCTCCCCCCCCCTTCCACCCCTCCCTAAGTGTTTGGGTGGTCTGGATGTGATTAGTTGGTGTGTTTTACCCCTTGGTTGAATGTCTGTGTTTGCACGTGCTCATTTTTATATACGTGTGTGGGCCTCATGTATGTGTACCTATATATACCATATATTCGTGGTTTGTCTTGGAGTTTGATATGTGCTTGGTGTCGTTTGTGGGCGAATACATACACACTCAACCTCCACATTTGATGTTTGTTGTCTGGAGATGGAGAGAGAGAGAGAGTGAGAGGGTTCGTTTGTTTCTTTTCTTGATAAAGGCTCGGAGTGGGGTGTGTACAGTAGCGTAAGAACATGTATTAGTTTGGTGGTGATTTGGTAGTTTGCGGTTTTATCGACTCTGCAGTCTGCTTGTATATGTGTATCTGCGTCTTTTTGTCAATCATTCACTCTTGTAGCATTTCTGACTGCTGCTTTGGTACTTTTATAATTTGTAGATAGGAAGTGATTTTACACGCAAAATTCATTGTGTTCTCTTGCTTGCTTGGGTGTTGGGCAATAGATTTTCCAACCTAGGCTTCTAAATATTTACTCTGTTTGACATTGAGATAGTATTTATTTATATATCAAATGGCAGGCGTTTTGATCGTTATCGTTAGCCCTTTAGTTGACTTCAGGCTTCACAGAGAGGATGGAAAATCAAAGTAAAAAAGTCGTTAGAGGAGGGGGG